CCCCCCCTCGACATTGCCTCTCGCGTTTCCATGGGTGTAGGTGCCGGATGCCAGCGCCGTAGAGTTCCGTGTGAACGGCTGCTGGACCCCGGCCCCCGCTGTCATCCGCGACGCCTCCTGGCTCAACCTCAGCAACAGCTCTCACGAGCGGTTCGACGCGGAAGGGGGAGTCGTGCTAGGTGATCGTGGACGACGTAACATTTGCATCAAGTTGCCCTAGTGACATTGAGGTTTGTGTTGGAGTTCTGTCTTTGCAAGCCTGTGTCCGGTGGTCTGTTGCGGGTCAGCTCGTGTGCCGACGTCATCATCTTGTAGATGACTTGCTGTTTCTTGACTCTCTCTTCTGCCCGGAGTTTCAGGGAGCGTGATTTCGTGGTGCAGCAGCATGTAGCGGCTTACCCACGTAAACGATTTACGAGAGAGCACACATGACAAAGCCCGTACTTCAAGAGATAAATAGTGGCTTGTCGCGGCCGTGAGAGCTAAAATATTGGAACGACGGTGCAACGTCGCCGTTGAGACGCAAAGATCCATGAATGATTGCACAATGCAATCACCCAAACGTGCAACGCCTTTCAGTACAGTCGTACATTGCGGGCCGCGGACCATGCGGTGACAAAGAGGACCTCTCACCAGGTTGTAATGCATGCTCCCCCCACCCGCCACCGGCTCATCCCCGGAACATAAGTAGGGCTGGCAGAAGCTGTGCGAGGAAGGGGCGCGGCGGTGCTGGGCGCGCGGAAGCTGAGCAGCGCCATGTCGGCCGCGAACGCGATCGCGAGCCACCTGGCGGACTGGCTGGTGCCTCCTCTCCCTGCATCAGGTACCACAACGTACCCATGGCGGTTCCTTGTACTCGAAGGCTTTTTGCGATTCAGGTTCACCAACTTTCCCACTCTCTCTTTTCGGTAAAATAACCAAAACCGGTAACAACAATACAAGGCAGAAGCCTATCGAGTGCAAGCCTACTAAAATTGCCCTTTGCTGAACAACTCTTCGTGATACCAGAGAAAAACACATCGAGGAAAAATGCACAAAGCAAAAAAAAACAAGTTTGTTTTAATTGCATATCCTAAACTGTTCACACTTGCGCCATTATCCCCTTGTTTTGGGCACGCCCCCGGTGGGCGTAAACACATTTTTTTCCTTGGACAGCGAACGAACGACCCCTGTCGTTCTCAAAGGTGTAGGGGGGCGAACGACCCCAAAAGTGCTCCGGGGGGGGGAGGCTGAATCCCTCGGCGACTGTTTTTTTTATGAACTTTTATCGTGGATTCCTGCTACGCTAGCCTCCACTGCTATTGAATGGGGGTGTGCTGTGTCGCTGAGCGTCCCTTTCACCGTGTCGGGGGCCGTTCTCAATAGGGGAATAGGGGTTATGGTGTTCTACGCGAAACATGGTTGGTCTTGCCGTGGGAATCGTGGGTGGGTGAGGGGTGCACTCGCTGCCGGCAGGAAGCGTTCATTGCGTTTTGGCAGAGGCGTTTCCTTACAAGTATTGACGACAGTTCTGTCTCGGCCTCGTTTTTTCAATTCTGGCGTGGTGTTATGTGTTCGCACGTCTTGAAGTGTATGGTTCCCTGTTCCATGTCTTGGTAAGGATGGCATGTGTCCTGCCCATGCGTGCAACCCAGCTACGAGCAACATGCATCCTGCTTCGAACCTTTCCGTGCGGCGTGCCGCGTGTACTGTTCGGTCCGTAACTGCGACGCCACCGAATTCCAAACGTACCCTTTTCTGTCTCGCCGCGTATGTGTAGCCCCCCCCCCCCCCCCCCCCCCCCCCCCCCCCCCCCCCCCCCCCCCCCCCCCCCCCCCCCCCCCCCCCC